AATCCAATACAGTTGAGATGAGCTTACGTGGAAAGTAGAGCTGAAGAGTTTCTTTCCTGAGTTCCAGTAGAATCCAAGTGGGAAGTCGGGGGAACAGAAAAGTATTTACAAGACAAAAATTGAATGTTGTTTATATCTTTCAAGTATGACTTGCCTCATTTTATTCAAACAGTTGAGTAAATCAGGAAAATTAAATCGTGACCTCAGTATGAGAGGTCATTATTTATTTATTTATTTATTTATTCATTCATTTATTTATATTTTTATAAATTTATTTTTTATTGGTGTTCAATTTTCCAACATCTAGAAAAACACCCAGTGCTCATCCCATCAAGTGCCCCCCTCAGTGCAGAGAGGTCATTATTTAGAGCCTTTGTTTATGTGATAGTTGCAACCAAAGCTTTGGGCTAAGGGAATCTTTTTTTTTCCCCACCCCCTGTAAATTATTCACTATTGGAGACTTTTATGGGGAGTGGGCAAATGCAGACTGGAGGTGTAAAACAAACCCGAAAGTATATTATAAAAACATATAAAAACATAAAAATACAAGCAAAAGAAAAAAATATTAAGCATAGTTACCATATGACCCAGTAATATACTCTCTCTATATATGTACATAATATGTACATATGCATATATATATATATACACACACACACACAATGTGGTTCATCCATGTAATGGAATGGCACTTGGGCAATAAAAAGGAATGAACTGCTGGTAAATTATGCAAAAAAACCTTAAAAATGCTATGCTGTGTGAGAGAATCCTGTTACCAAAGACCCCATATTGTGTGATTCCATTGATATAAAATATCCAGAACAAATCATTAAGACAGAAAGGACACTGGTAGTTGCCTTTGGCTGGGGCGGGAGTGGGGACAGGTGGGGAGGTCTGGGGCATGAGCGCTCATGGGTACAGGATTTCTTTCCTGGGGGTAAAGAAAACATTCTCAAGGGGTAACGATTGTAAAACTCCAAATGTGTCAAAAATAATTGAATTGTATGTATACTTTAAATGGATAATTAGTATAATATTATGCCTTAAAGCTGTTACAAAAATATGCATGTAGGGAAGGAAGTGTATATACTAAAATGTTAGTGGTGGTTTTATTTCTTCTTTTCTCCTTAATTATTTTTGTGGCTCAAAAAAGTATCACAAGTAATTTAAAAGTATTTCAAAAAAGAGGTCTTAAGTTCCTTTAGAGAGGATGCAGAGTGCAAATAGGAAAATTAGAACCCATCCAGAGTTGCTCTGGTGCTGAATGCCTGCCCTTGCCTGGACGTCCTGGCCTTGCTGGTCCTGGCCTTGGCTGGTCCCGGGGCTCAGCAGGGACCCAGCCTGTTCACGCGAGTGGACTGATGGGCTGATGCTGGTATTTCTGTAGGTAGGGCTTTGTCCTTTCTCCTAGTCCTTGCTTATGCTGGGAAGCCCACAAGATGGATTTTACTAGTGTTCCCATGTTTAGGCAAAAAAATAGAGTAACTGGGATGCTGAACCAGAGGGCACAGCATTAAAGTAGCCGCCGAACGGAAATTTGTTTCCTTCGCCATTTCAGCCCCGGCCTCTCGTGAACTGGACGTGCACACCTGGGTGAATCACTGGCGCGATACATTGACACAGAGTCCTTAGAGGGGAAGCGGCGGGAGGAAGCAGAGGGAAAGGCAGTCCTCTGTCCATCAGTCCGGCAGCTCAGAAGTAGGGATCAACAGGGCCGGGATTCAGAGTGTTTGAGTTAGTATTTCAGAAACTTGAACAACTCTCGCGTCCCGGTCCTGAGCCATGGCTTTGCCTGATGATCCCCGACAACTCCTCCGCTGTTCTGGGCTGCCAGGTGCAGGTTCCCCTGGAGAGAGAAGCGTTCACCTGGCACCTCCAGTATGCAGGCTCTCCCTTGGCTCCCGGCACCTAAGGGTCGGGCCAGCCTTCCCAGAACTCACATCTGTTGGGAGGAAAGGATCCATTCAAACCCTGTGAACCCCTCTGAGTTCTGGGCCTTTGCAGGGCAGGCGGCATGAGCTGAGAGTGTGGCCCTCGGTTCCCGGTGTACTTTTGGTGATGCCCTGCCCATCTAGCCCAGGTGTCGACTCCATCGTGGATGGTTGAACCTGAACCAAGAATGCAGTAGCTGTCTGGCTGGCTCCCGTCACGAATTTTTTTTTTATTTAATTTAATTATTATTATTATTATTATTATTATTATTATTATTATTTTGCCTCCTTCCTCAGAGGATCCAGACTCCAGACGATAGCTGTCTGGCTGGCTCCCGTCACAAATTTTTATTTATTTAATTTATTTTTATTTTATTTTATTTTATTTTTTTGCCTCCTTCCTGGGAGGATCCAGACGATAGCTGTCTGGCTGGCTCCCATCATGAATTTTTATTTATTTATTTTTAAATTTTTAATTAATTAATTAATTAATTTATTTATTTATTTATTTTTTGCCTCCTTCCTGGGCAGATCCAGACGACCCAGCAAAGGGCAGTTAAAGGAGAGTCCTGATCAGCCTGTGTGTCCAGTGTAAGCGCTTGCTTCACAGTAGGTGTGGCCTCTGAGGTCCCAGTCGTCAAAAGGGGACAGTTAGACTTAACACAGAGCTGGGACCTATTAGGCTCCTCTGTTTCTTAACAGAAACACTCGTCGTAATCTTATAGCTGCTTAACCCTGGTTTTTGAAAACCCCGTTTGCAGGTACGGTGTCACTGGTGACCATGAATATTAGAGCTCGTTTGTTCCATTTAGAGTTTAGCAGTAAGAAAACATGTTTATTAAGTTTGGTAAATCGGATTTAGAGGGGATAATCCTTCTGGGTGGGCTGTGTGGGCAAGATTAATGGGCCTTTAAAACAGAGTAGTTTGACGTTACCGATATCATTATCGGCTGGAGGTTGCCATGGCAATGGGCGGTTCGGTTGCACTACTGCCCTTGGTGTCACAGCAGACCGAGTGTAAGAGGATCCCGGTAATTTAGCAGAAACTCTCCTAGAGCAGTTTGATTGACCTCCGGTGGAATGAACGCCAGATTCTTTTAAAGCTCTAGGCCGGAGCTGTGTATAGTCCCAGATTAATTAAAGATCGCCTATAGATCTTATCCCGGGTCTATGCACGCTCCCAGGTATCTTCAGTGGTGCTTGTGTAAAGCTCTATAACTTTGGAAGCTATTTTTAAACTCAGTACAAATCTTATAAACACTTGTCTCTCTTAACAGCTTCTGGTATTTGCATTAATTAGATTAGATTATACCTGAAACAAAAGCAAGCTGCAGTCGGTGGCACAAAAGAGCGTGGGCTGGCAGTGTGCAAGGTGGGAACGGGCAGGGTGGGATCCGGCCGGGCCCCCGAGGGATGCGGCCTCCGTGAGCGCAGGATGGGTTTGTCGGGTGCCGTGGCCTGGTCAGCTCAGTCTTGGGGAAATGTGTGCTGTCCCTTCTGACCAGCGCCCTCCACATGTCTTAGAAATGCGGGAGCCTAGTTGAGGAGCACGCGGGGTGAGAAGGCTTTAGAGGAAGCAGGACAAAACCCAGTGCGCCCGGAGGCCTGGGCCGGAGTGTCCGTTGACCTTTGCATCTTGCCGCCCTCCCTTTCCCATTTCAGGGCCCTCCCCGCCGCCACAGCCAGCTTTTAGGGGTCGGGTGTGTTGCGTTTCAGAACAAAAACCTGTCTTTTCTGCAGGTGCCTCCCACCCCGTGGAGCCCGGGGTCCTGCGGTTTGGGCAGGCTTCCCCTGGGCGTAGCGTAGCCGGCGGGTCAGTGCTGCCTCCTGCAGGCCGGGCGCGGGGTGCGCACCGAAGTGGGCTCCCCGGCGCCGCCTCCTCTCTGGGCCCCCGGGAATAAACACATAAAATCTTAAAAAACAAACAAACAAACAAACAAAAACACAAAGAACCCAGCCATGAATGAGACTCCTCGCTTTGGTCCCCGGCAACATGAGTAAATCCACGTGAGACGGGAGGGCTCGGGTGACGTTAGGTAACGGGATGGTGAGGTGCAGGGGCCCTGGGTAGGCGTCGGGCAGGGCAGCCCAGAGGTCCAGGGGCGGTTAGGCAAGGCCCTGCTCCCCATCCTTGCCCGGGGTGTCCAGCACTCCTTTTCCCCAGGCCCCAACCTGCTTGGTGCTTATGTATCAGCAATGGTAGCTCTTGTTACGGCAGCTGAGTGTGAAGAGAACCGGTCAGGACCCAGAGAAAAATACCCCTCAAGTGAACCTTCCTGTTTAGCCCGGGGTGTCCTGACCACTGGAGTTTCCAGGAAAGCCGTTATTCCGAGGAAGGGCGCCTGTGTGTGCCCGGCCTGGCGCTGTCCGGGGTGGGAGCCCGAGGGTCGGGCTGGCCTTGAGGCGTCAGGGATGCCCGGGCAAAGCTGAGCCTCAGTGGGGATGAATGAGGCCCTTTTGAAACACAAAAGCTGTGGTGTTTGAGGAGCTGGACACGTGGGACATGTGTAGGTAGGTCCTACGCACGTCCCTAGAATCTGGCCTATTTGGAAGAGCCTTTGTCCTGTGAGTTGTCTTCCTTCTGCATCAGGGGCCTTTGTTTATTTAATGATTTTTTTTCCCCCATCAGGATTTCCTGCGAGAGGTCCTGGGCTTGTTAACCTCTTGGTCCCCAGATATTACCGCAACGTGGCAGTCGGGGCATCTCCTACTCCGCGGAGGGTTGGTTTTTAAGAAGCCTGATCCAGGCTAGCTCTGCTCGGACCACTCCTCGGGCAGCTCTTTCTATTTGTTATCTAGTTTGGGGTTTTTTTTCTTCTTTCTTTTTTTCTTTTTTAAAGATTTTATTTATTTATTAGATACACAAAGAGAGAGAGAGGCAGAGACACAGGCAGAGGGAGAAGCAGGCTTCGTGCAGGGAGCCCGACACGGGACTAGATCCCAGGACCTGGGGTCATGCCCTGGGCCAAAGGCGGCGCTAAACCGCTGAGCCCCCCGGGCTGCCCCCCCTTTTTTTCTTTTAACGAAAACTCTATCAGCAGATCCTGATGACGATTATTCCTTTTGCAGAGATTAGGAATTTGGCGACCGGCAGGCCATCACCTGAAAAGGAGGATGTAAAGGTAATGATTCTCTGTCCCTCTTTATTTTTTTTTGGGGGGGACTTCTTTTTGGAGCTGAAGTAGAAGTGAAGAGCTAGCGGTGATAGCTAGTGTAACCCCCCACACCCCCCAAGGCGTGTTCCCTATGTCACGTGCACTTGAAATTCACTTGGCTCTACCTACTGTCAGCCTCTGCTCTGGACTGGGGCTGACCGACCGAAGCCGCTGCCTTTCTGGCTCACGGCTGTGTACGCAACCCAAGCGTATACATTTTTCAAAGCAAGTTTTTCCTTAAAGAGTGGGAGCTACAGATGTTTGCCCGCACGGCGGCTGCAGGGGGACACCCGGGGACAGCCTGTGGGCGTAAGGGGACCCGTGCAGGGCTGTCAGGCAGGCCTCCGCGCGGGCCCAGTCCCGTCTTCCCTGGAGCCCTTGAGGACTGCTAATAGAGCACAAGCCTGTGCTCGCACCCGTGCGGCGAGACACGTAACGCATCCTCACGGATATTTTCTGAGGTCGCGTTTCCCGCGTTGATGAGAGTAAACCCAATTGTGGCCCAGAAGTGATTTTTGTCAAAAACCTCTTTTCCAGCGTGTGGACAGCCCGGATGTTGACCCCTATGAACACGACGGCCGGGACAGTCTCGATTTGGGTATGTTCCAGATACGGTGTCCCTGTGTGCACGTCCTGGGTACAGACAGGACCCCAAGAAAAGAAATATTTTTATTTTTATTTTCTTAATTTTATTTATTTATTCATGATAGACACACAGAGAGAGAGAGAGGCAAGGCAGAGACACAGGCAGAGGGGGAAGCAGGTTCCATGCAGGGAGCCAGACGCGGGACTCGATCCCGGTCTCCAGGATCACGCCCCGGGCCAAAGGCGGCGCTAAACCGCTGAGCCACCCGGGCTGCCTTTTTTTTTTTTTTTTTTTAATTTTATTTATTTATTCAAGAAAAGAAATCTTAAAATACAATCTTCCCTCCTAGGAACTTTGTCTAGTTTTGGAAACTGATGCAGAATGAAGTCTTGTCACGGCAGCAGTATTAATACCTTGAGTTCAGGGGCTGAGTCTCCATGTATGATCCTTTAACCAAAAAAAAAAAAAAAATCACACAAAAAAAACCCAAAAAACAAAAAAAGGCAAAGCAATGGAGGCTGCTTCCGAGCAGTGGAACTCTGAGCCAGAGTCTGGCGTGGACTGTGTCCTGTGTTGGCTGCCTCATTCCTGGAGGTGGGCCCCACCAGCACGGCTGAGGAAGGGGCTGAGGCCCCTGGTGACAGTACGTGGTGGGCCTGAGACTCCCGGCTCCCCCTGCCTGGCCTTGGAACCCCGGGCTTCCTGCCCATTTTGAGACCCAGCTGTGGTACCTTTGGAGCTGAGCCCATACAGTCCTCCCCTGGCCTGGGGAAGGACCAGATGCTGTCGCTGGGTGCAGCCTCTGGGCACTAGGCGATCTCTTGGCAGAGGTGAAGGTAGTTTTTTCCTGGGACTGGACCTTCTCATCTGCCCACAAAGTCTAGTTGCAGCTCCCTAGGGCGTCTCCTCAGATCCCTGTGGCCGCTCGCTAGTCCTGGAGGGCGAATGTGGGCCCCAGAGTTCCCCTTGGAGTTGGAGCCTGATGAGGCTCTTGGAGGCCGGAGGATGAACATAAACTCGCCCAGACCTCTAGGCTTGACTGGAAGGCACCTACGTACAAGCTTCCCAGTTGCCTTCCCTGAGTGAGGTCGAGGCTGCGCCCCCCGTGAAACGCACGTGAGTGGAGGGGAACTGGGTGTCGCTGTGAGTGAGCCAGTACTGGAGCTCGTGGAGGGTTCGGGTGGACGCAAAAGGGGGAGACCAGGACGATGCCCAAGGGCGAGTTTAACCGCGAGGGTGGGTGGGCCTGGGGGCCCAGAGGTGCGGGTGTCCCACTGGAGGCCAGCGGGGTGTTGTGGACACGCTTGGCATGCATGGGCAGAGCAGAGACGGCAGTGGGGGAGTCGTGGAGAGAAAGCAGTGTGGCAGGAAGCACCGCCGCCGGCATCCATTGGCCGTGCTGCTGGCAGCCTGGCTACGAGCAGGGATGTTTGCAGGAGGCCTGAAATCAGAACAGAAAGTAAGACCCTGCCAAGCAATGCGCGCACCTTTGATATTTCTGCTCTATAAGGTAAAGGTCATAATTCACCTCTAGGAGAGGAAGGGGAAGAGGAAGCAGAAATGAAAGCAAACATCTCCATCTACAGGACTGTCGCAGGCCATTAAACCCAGAGCACAGCCTTTGCTCACGCATACAGGATGTCTCATCTGCAAATTGCATCGTGCTCCTAGGAATGTTAGCTTTGAAGAGTGTTTACCAAGACAAACTGCTGGTGGGGGAGGAGCGTTGGCCGTTATGAGTATTAAATGGGGTCATTTTAATTTTCACCTTTAAAGACTCCCTTCTCTAGCTGGTGTACTTGCTGGGTAAGAAGAGGATGGAATAGCCCGACCTAATTGGTGTGTTTTGCCAGTAACGTCACTGGGTCTGAGGAGGATCGTACTAAATGATTTGAGACACCCTTGTAGGGCTTTCATCCCCAGTGAGTGATGAAAAGGGCCACGATCGTTCCTTGTGGTGATATTTGCTTCTTTCTTGGTTTTTATTTTTTTTTAAGATTTTATTTATTTATTTATATTTATTTATTTATTTATTCATTCATTCATTCATGGATACATGGAGACACAGAGAGAGAGGCAGAGACACAGGCAGAGGGAGAAGCAGGCTCCATGCAGGGAGCCCGACACGGGACTCGATCCCAGGACCTGGGGTCACGCCCTGGGCCAAAGGCAGACGCTCAACCGCTGAGCCACCCAGGCGTCCCTGCTTCTTTCTTTGGATTAGACTTTTTTGGATTGGAAACAAACAAACAAAAAAGGTACCCGACTTTATGCAGAGAAATAGGTCTTAAAAGGACCTTCTGGGCCAGGAAGCCGTGAGCGACAGTTGGGCGATAAGCCGGAGTCTGGAAATCGAAACGGCTTTTCCACAAGGCCACTTGCAAACTGTTGTGCCGTTTTATTTGCACTTATGTTCTGCTCAGTCCCCATGACTGCATTAGCAAGGTTGGAGATAGCTTGATTTGCTGCTGCCTTGCTAACTCTACTTCTATTTTCTTATTTTTTCTTAAAGTTTTTGTATGCTTTTTAAAGATTTATTAGACACGCAGAGAGAGAGGTAGAGACTCAGGCAGAGGGAGGAGCAGGCTCCATGCAGGAGCCCGATGCGGGACTCAATCCCAGGACCCAGGGGTCACGCCCTGGGCTGAAGGCGGCACTAAAGTGCTGCGCCACTCAGGCTGCCCTAACTCTACTTTTAAAAGGCTGAATTGGACAAAATAAAAGTGTGTGTCTGGTTAGCAATTACGATTTGCAGTTAAACGTTGAGTTTGTCCTGGAGGCCTGTGAAACAAGATGCCAGCATTTCGGGCGAGTTACAGAAGCTCCTGGAAGGTGACACCCCTGCTTCCTTAGCACGGGACACTCAGGAGTGTGAGTGGAGTTGGGTGCGTCGGACCAGGTTCAGGGACGCTCAGAGCAACATTGGTTTTCCTGCTGTGATTTATCTGGCGTGTCCCGCATTGGACGGAAGACGGCTTGAGCCTGACCCCCGTGGAGCGTACGTGTGTGACTGGGTGGGTGGAAAAAAATGAAGGCTTGGTGAACTCGGCGCGGTAAAACAAGGACAGTGTGAGCGTGTTTCAGCGTCCCTGGGGGACCGGGGAGGGAAGGGGGGATGCACCCCCTACGGGGAGACAGCGATGGGATGGGAACCGCGGTCTCCGCTAGGGGATCACAGCGCTTTCCAGCTCTGGGCCCAGGCTCGGCTGCAGCCCCGCTCCAGGTCTGGCTGGCCACCGCGCCGGCCAAGATTCCAGATCGAATATTGTGCCACAGAAGAGTTTGGGAAAAAATAATCTTAAGTTGTGGCAGCAACACATGCTCACAGTAGAAAAAAACTGGGAATTTTAGACACTGCAGGAGGAGGAACACCCCAGCGGTTTGCCCACCCAGAGCAGCGGCTCGTAGACCTCGGTGTATTTCCTACCAGTGTTCTTATGGGGTGTCCGTTTTTACACAGCTGTGATCATGTAAACAATAGAATTTTGTGTCCTGCTCTATTCATTTAACATCATATGCCGTAAGGAAGCTCTGTTTTAGTAGGTGGCTTAAAATGATTTTGTACGTTTTTCTATAAAAAATATGGGTTGCTTTTCTAAGAAAAAAGGGAAAAATAGCTTAGATTTTTGCCAACAAGTCTTTATCAGAGAGAAGAAAACTTCTTTTTTTTTTTTAAAGATTTTATTTATTTACTCATGAGAGACAGAGGCAGAGACACAGGCAGAGGGAGAAGCAGGCTCCATGCAGGGAGCCCGATACGGGACTCGATCCCAGGACCCCGGGGTCATGCCCTGAGCCAAAGGCAGGCCCTCAACCGCTGAGCCACCCGGGTGTCCCAGAAACTCTTCATTTTTATAATAGGTATTGTTCGATTTTAGAGTGATCTGATTTTCAGTATATGCAGAGGCTCAAATCCCAATTATTGTTTAATACCTTGGGTCGCTTCATTGCTGTTCCGTTGGTTACCTGCATGTTACATGAGAAGAAGAGAATCTTTTAGTTAGTGGGTGTGGGGGCCTGGGAGGTGTGGGTACCAAGGAGCCAGAAGAACCAAAGGTGTGGAAAGACACCTGAGCTGATGCCCAAAAAAACCATCCGGACGAATCATGAAGAGAAGGAAGCAGAAATAGGAACAAGCAGTAGGAAGTGAAGTGTTTCAAATTGTTTAACCTGGACAGCACAGGTTTTCAAGACTACAGGAAAGGTCCAGAAGGTTGTCATTTTATTTATTTATTTATTTATTTATTTATTTATTTATTCATTCATTCATTCATTCATTCATTCATTCATTCATTCTCGGAGTTCAATTTGCCAACATATAGCATAACCCTCAGTGCTCATCCCGCCAAGTGCCCCCCTCAGTGCCCGTCACCCAGTCACCCTCTCCCCCCGCCCACCTCCCTTTCCACCACTCCTTGTTCATTTCCCAGAGTTAGGTTGTCCTTTCTTTACTACAAATCAGAACTTATCAGTGGTTTGATTTTGAAATAAAGGGACGAAGGCTAGGAATGGAGAAATATCCCAAGTCCCTCGGGAATGCAGAGTTATCTGTAAAAGTGGACCCATGGTTTTCCTTCTGTGGACTCCAGTGCAATTTTCTTACTGCACTCATTGAGATTTTTAAACCTTGTTTTCAATAGAAGAAATTACTGACTTATTCTTTGAGTGGAATCCCACTGAAGCTCAATTTGGGTCTTTAACCATGAACGTGATGCCTGTTCTATTTGTGGCATCATTGTTTGGAGGTATTCTTCTCGAGGAATGTGAGTAAAGCATTGTTAAGTCAGACAATTGAGATGTTTATTGGCAGGATTCCATCCCATGAATTAAATAATTTGGGGATTCTTAGGTCAATAGATACTATAAACTAGAATCCCCGGGATAAACTAAAGCCTTACTGGAGGTGTATAGTGTCCTATTGCTTTCCTTTCTTTTTTTTAAGATTTTATTTATTCATAGAAACACACAGAGAGAATGAGAGGCAGAAACACAGGCAGAGGGAGAAGCAGGCT